ACTAGCTGGTCTGCCGCAGAAGTCCAATAGTCTACGTATTAGGCCTTGGCTTCGGTGACTAATACTGCAGATCGGATAGCAAATTTCATGATATCAGGAAGTGTTTTCATTACCGGTTTTTTATTTCGCTATTTAGATTTTGCGCATTTCTAAGGGTAATGGAAACGCACCTGGAGAGTGAGAACGATGTCCGACGTTATTAGCCCGAAAACTCAGTCTGCTTCGTGACCGTAGACTGTTCGTCACACAGCTTTGAGTCTTGGTGATACCAGCTATGGGTGCTTGCGTCCAGTGGCGAATGGCTTTATTTAGCGTTTCAATATCAGTCGCAAACCTTCTATCCTGATGGATTAGGTTGGATGCGCACTTCCACTCTGCTCTGAAGTTCCGCATGTACAACCCCAATTCCGAAATAGTTGGGACAAAGTATAAATTGCGAATAAAATCTAAACGCAATGACTTTCAAATCACACCAGCCAGTATTTTATTCACAGTAGAACAGAGATAACATAGGAAATGTTGAAACTGAAACATTTTATAATTTTATCCACAAAATGAGCCCATTTCAAATTTGATGGCTGCTACAGGTCTCAAAGTTGGGACAGGGGCCTGTTTACCAATCGTGTAGCATCCCCTCTTCTTTTTAAACACAGAGTGAAGGCGTCTGGGCATTGAGGAGACAAATTTCTTGAATTTAGCCATTGGAATTTGATCCCACTCTTGTTTAATACAGGCTTCCAGCGGCTGGAGAGTTTTGGGTCTCCTTTGACGGACTTTGCGTTTAATTATGCGCCAAATGTTCTCAATCGGTGAAAGATCAGGACTGCAGGCAGGCCAGTTAAGCACATGGACTCTTCTACTAAAAAGCCATGCTGTTGTAATAGCTGCAGTATGTGGTTTTGCATTGTCCTGCTGAAATACACAAGGCCTTCCCTGGAACAGATGTCGTCTGGAGGGGAGCATATGTTGCTCTAAAACCTTTATATACCTTTCAGCATTCATGGTGCTTTTTAAAACATGCAAGTGTCCCACACTATATGCACTAATGCATCCCCATACCATCAGAGATGCTGGCTTTTGAACTGAACGCTGATAACAGGAGGGGTGGTCTTTCTCCTCTTCAGCCCAGAGGACACGACGCCCATTGTTTCCAACAAGAATGTCAAATTTGGACTTGTCTGACCACAGGACACTTTGCTACAGTCCATTTTAAATAAGCCTTGGCCCACAGAACATGGCGACGCTTCTGGATCATGCTCAACAATGGCTTCATTTTTGCCTGATAGAGTTTTAGGTGGCATCTGTGGATGGCACGGCGGACTGTGTTTACAGACAGTGGTTTCTTGAAGTATTCCTGGCCCCATTTAGTAGTGTCAATGACAGAATCATGCCGGTGAGTGATACAGTGGCGTCTGAGGGCCCGAAGATCACGGGCATCCAGTAAAGGTCTTCGGCCTTATCCCTTACAGAGATTTTTCCAGTTTCTCTGAATCTTTAGATGATGTTCTGCACTGTCAATGATGAGACCTTCAAAGCCTTTGCTATTTGAAGTTGAGAAATATTGATTTTAAAGTATTCCACAATTTTTTTTTTTACGCAAGCCTTCACGGGTTGGAGAGCCTCTGGCCATCTTTACTTCTGAGAGACTCAGCCTCTCTAAAACATCCATTTTATAGCCAATCATGTTACACACCTGATACCAGTTAACTTAATTACTTGCTAAATGTTCTTTCAGCTGATTCTCTAATCTATTAATTGCTTTTTTCAGCCATTTTTTGCCTGTGTCCCAACTTTTTTGAGACCTGTTGCAGCCAGAAAATTTGAAATAAGCTCATTTTGTGGATAACAATGTAAAATGCCTCAGTTTCAACAAGTGAAATGTTATCTATGTTCTATTGCAAATAACATTGGCTCATGTGATCTGAAAGTCATTGCATTTTGATTTTATTCACAATTTACACATCGTCCCAACTATTTCGGAATTGGGTTTGTACATGATTATTCATGCAGTATCTGGTTGGTCCAAATGCAAGATTATTTATTTTCATTAGAGTACGATAAAGATGAGAAAAGCTGCGGTTCTATAGATTTATAGTCAGTTTTCTTTGTGGTTCCGATAATTGGCCAGCTGTCAGAGGAATAGTATTTTGTCGATTGCAGCAAATGTTCAAAACCGATTCAAAAACTAACTGGTGACGCCTGCCTAATGTACTCCAGCGACGACCATAGGCCTATCAGCGCAATGCCTCAAATATGAGTCTGTGTCACGAACAGTGTACGGTCACGAAGCAGACTGTTCTTTTGGGGCTAATAACGTCGGACATCGTCCTCACTCTCTGTGTGCGTTTCCATTACCCTTCGTAATGTGCAAAATCTAAATAGCGAAATAAATAAAACTGGTAAATAATAATAAATAATAATAATAAGCCGTCCTCCTACATTGTTACCGGTGAAAGAATTTCTTGAAACTTTGTGCAAACGAACTTGGCATACTGCACCTACTTTTCACCAAAAATTTAGGGTAGATCACTTGGAACTGTATTAATTTTAATGTTAAACTTTCAATTTGTGATGAAAAAATGTAGCCAAATTATGCTTTTTACGGCTTCAATTCCTCCTGGGTCTCATATTTTCAAAGCAATTAAGCCATGTTTGGTGTCAAATTGTTCCTTGGGATGGCAGCAACAAGAACGATTATAAATTTTAGAACTTGCACTGTGATAATTGGGAGTTATTCATTGATTTATCCCCATATGTTGGTTTTAGGGGGTGCTCATCTAAATTTGGCCATAATTTTTCGATGAATGATTCAGTTTATGTACAGGGGAGGGTTTGATGAAAAGTTGTCCCTTGGGGAAATGGAGACTTGCACATACATTTAGACTTGTATGATAACTCTCCAAAATGATAACTGCATTTATACATTTTTCAAACATTCTTGTGAACATCAATATCTACTTTTCAGTTCACAAAGTGCTTTCTGATAATGTTTCTTACATAAATGTAGCATCAACTGATAGTCTGTTCAGGTATCTTTATTATCCCCCGCCACACGAAGTGGCCGGGGGATATTGATTTGACCTCCGTGCGTGCGTGCGTGCGTCCAAATCCAAAGGAGAACAACTGTTCACAAGAAATATTCGAGATAGGATAACCAAATTTGGCATATAGGTTCAGACCATGAAGGCCTTGATCGAGTTCGAAAATGAGACCAGCGCGATTATTTTTTCCAGAGTTATTGCCCTTGATTCGCATTTTTGAACTCTGACTACGGTGTCTATAAAGGAGAACAACTTTTCACAAGAAATATTCCAGATAGGATAACCAAATTTGGTGTGTAGCTTAAGACCATAAAGACCTTGATCGAGTTCGAAAATGAGACACGCGTGATTATTTTTCCCGGAGTTATTGCCCTTGATTCACTTTTTTCAACTCTGTTCACGGTATATGTAAAGGGGAACTACTTTTCACGGGAAATATTCCAGATAGGATAACCAAATTTGGTGTGTAGCTTAAGACCATAAAGACCCTGATAGAGTTCGAAAATAAGAAGCACACTATTATTTTTCCCACAGTTATTGCCCTTGTGGCACTTCTGGGAGTCTCTGTTCATAGTATCTTTAAAGAAGACATTTTGGCGGGGGATGTTGTTGACCATGTCTACTTGTTTGGGCTTGTTAATATTCAGAAAAGTATCATGGTACTTTGCGTGACCACAGTTTTGGCATGCGCGCCCAACTTTTTCAGGTTGGGAGCGCATGCGCTCCTAGGTCCAAAAGTTAGTCTGGAGGGTTGATTTGCATTTTTGCCAAGTTTAGAAACCTATGAATCGGTACTAGAGCTGTTTAGGAGCTTGAATCTGTACAAGTGTAATAACTTACATACACATTTATATTGGCATGAGAATTCATAAGCAGTGCTCGGGTCTTGTTTTTTTTTTAACTTCTGACTTCATCAAAATGCCTTTGGCAAAAACTGCCCAAAAACTAAACTCTCAGAGGCAATCAGGGTTGGGGTCAATTCCGGAATTGGATATAAAATTGATAAATCAGGGCGGAATTGGAATATATTATTTGGAATTGAAGTGAGATTGGAATTGATAAAATGGAATTGACCCCAAGTGCAGAGGCAAGGACTTTAGGACAAGGACAATGCTCTTTTAGGATAATTTTCATATTTATTCTAAAACTCTTATTAATGAATTGGAAGTCCTCAATCATGGTGTTTTTAAGATGTAATATTCTTGGGTGGGCGGTATTTTGAGTCCTATATCTGCAAAAACGTATACAATCTTAAAGCTAAAATTTAGTAAACAATTCTCATGAAGACAACTAGTTAAGTTTTTTTTAAAAAAATCAAACGATTCGAGTCACCTGGGGAAGTTTGAAAAACTTGGTAATTTTACATTGAATAACCCAGAATACTTCCAGAAAATTCACTGAGAAGACTATCAATCAATTCCTGATACCCTGCAGAAGAGTAGGGGTGACACCATAGACTGTATAAAAAGATGGACGAACCATCCAGTTACGTCACCCATTGGTTTCAGCATACCATTTAGGAAGCCTCGATTTTGGCAATTGGAACAGCGCCATTTTGTTATTTTGAGACCGGATGCGACTCCTATTGGCAGAGAGCATGAATTGAAGATCCAGGGAGGAGCGAGGGGTGGATCTGACCGTATCTGATGAGGAACAGAGGATAGCCACGCCCCCAAAGCATATCTGGCTTTATCCTTTATTCTAGTCTATCTGGGAGCATAATTTACAAAAATCAACATCATGATAAGAAGAAGAAATATTTTACTGAACCCCGTGGGGTAATTCGTCCTCTGCATTTGACCCATCCTATAGTAAGGATATAGTTCTAAAGCCAGTACCTTGGTCAGGGGTAATGGTAGGAGTATCCTATAATGCGCGTTTTTTATGGGTGGGGGAAACCGGAGTACCCGGAGGAAACCCACGCGAACACGGGGAGAACATGCAAACTCCACACAGAAAGGCCCCAGGCCGGATTCAAACCCACGACCTTCTTGCTGTGAGGTAGTAGTGTTAACCACTGTGCCACCGAGCCGCCCGTGATATATCGGAGGAGAGTTGAAACTTGCGATAGATACCATAAAATGATGTGGAAAATTATTGAAATAATAAATCAGGTAGGAAAGTAGGGTCATTTTCTCATGGACTTCTATAGAATTGAGCTTCTTTCTGCGATCACCGACATCGCCATCCACTGACCATTAAATAGAAAGCAATTTTAAGAGATTCCACGTCGGCTTCACTTTTCACACCCGTGTGCTGCGTCCATCTTTTTATACAGTCTATGGGTGATAGCAAGCATGCACACACGGTTGCATTACCCATGGAAATTATTCCCCTCAGAAAAGAAAACCACCTTTCATTAGGCCTGTCACAATAACTTTTTTTGTTACTCGATATATTGTCCCAGAAATTATCATGATTAACGACACTAATGTTATTTTATTTAAAAAAAAAATTAAGAAATTTTTGTGCCAGAGCTATAATGATAAACATAATCCTGCAAGTACAAGCTTTAGAATATCAATGAACATTTATTATTCAAAACTATTAAACTATAAAAAAAAAAAAAAAAAAATTTTAATATCCCAAAATAAATAGAACTCTTTCATCAAACGTTTTACAACCGAAACAACAAAAGCACCACAAGTTTGGAATGACAACTCATTTTTTTTTTTTTTTAAAGATTATTTTTTGGGGATTTTCTCCTTTATTACATAGTGATAGAGTAGAAAGTGACAGGAAAGATGGGGAGAAGAATGGGGAAGACATGCGGCAAATGACCCAAGCCGGAATCGAACCCGGGTTGCCACGGGAAGGACACACGGGAAGGACCGATGTGCCATCGGGGCGCCCCATGACAACTCATTTTTAATGCTAATCTCACGTACAACCATCGGCTGTTTAAAACGATGGACGAAGCAACCCATTTGTTTCAGCATACCATTTAGGAAGCCTTGATTTTGGCAATTTCAATTGTGCCATTTTCTCAATTTGAAACCGGATGTGATTCCTCTTGAACGAGAGCGTTAATTGAATATCCAGGGAGGAGTGAGGGGTGGATCTACGTGTGGATCTGACAGTATCAGACAAGGACCAGAGGATAGCCATGCCCCTAAAGCATATTCTGGCTTTATCCTTTATTCTAGTCTATTTGGGACCATAATTTACAAACCTAATGCGTTGCTGAATAACCCTCGGCCCGTACAAGTTTTCCTGCCTCAAGGTCACAGCGCTAAGGTGAAAGGTGAAATCCAGCAAAAAAAACGTGACGCAGCACATCTATGTGTCACAGTGAGTTACCATACCAAATTTGGTGAAGCTGCGATCAGTAGTTGCTGAGTACTGACCCGTACAAGATTTCCTGCCTCAAAGTGACAGCGCTAAGGTGAAAGGTGAAATCCAGCAAAAAACGTGACACTGCACATCTATGTATCACAGTGAGTTACAATACCAAATTTGGTGAAGCTGCGATCAGTAGCTGCCGAGTACTGACCCGTACAAGATTTCCTGCCTCAAGGTCACAGCGCTAGGGTCAAAGGTCAAATCCAGCAAAAAATGAGACGTTGCACATCTATGTCTCACAGTGAGTTACCATACCAAATTTGGTGAAGCTGGGATCAGTAGTTGCTGAGTACTGACCCATACAATATTTCCTGCCTCAAGGTCACAGCGCTAAGGTCAAAGGTCAAATCCAGCAAAAAACGTGACATTGCACATCTATGTGTCACAGTGAGTTACCATACCAAATTTGGTGAAGCTGCGATAATTAGTTGCCGAGTACTGACCCGGACAAAATTTCCAGGGTCAAGGTCACAGAGCTAAGGTCAAAGGTCAAATCCATCAAAAAACCTGATGTTGCACATCTATGGGTCATAGCAAGTTACCATACCAAATTTGGTGAAGCTGCGATGATTAGTTGCCGAGTACTGGCCCGGACAAAGTCATGGACAGATGACAGACGACAGACAGACACGCAGGTGACGACAATACCCCTCCGGCCGAAGTCGGCCGAGGGGTAAATATGAACATCATGATATATAGAAGGAGACTTGAAACTTGTGAAAGATACAATGAAGTAATGTGGAAAATCATTATTTAAATAATAAATCAGGTGGGAAAGTAAGGTAATTTTCTATAGTATTGAACTTCTTTCTGCAACCACCGACATCGCCATCTGCTAGCCATTAAATAGAATGCAAATTTTGGAGATTTCCGCATTGGCCTCAGTTTTCAGACCCGAGTGCTGCGTCCATCTTTTTATACAGTCTTTGCGTACAACAAGTAAATATCACCATTAACATTTTGTTACAAGAGTGGAGTGCTCCTTTGGGAGGCGGGGCGGCGCGTGCGTGCTGTGCGTGTGGAGTGGCGTGAGAGAGAGAGTAAATAACTACTACAGTACGACTGGCCGTAATTATTCAAATAAACAAGCACGACCGAAGCAGAGCCTCCATGTGTTGATTTTACACTACCACTGTCAGAACGAAGGGAGTTAGCCCCAAGGTAGCCACGCCAGCTAACTACGGCCCTGCAAGTGAAAGAATCTCCCCTGTGCTTCTTGACCACGGTCGGGGAGCTGCAGCAGGAAAGGTTTACAATTTGGTTGCCGTTTCCCTCCCGTTTCGCATGTATTCGGGTCTTCGCATTGACTTTGAATGTTATCTGTCGTGTGAACAATTTTTTTGCGTTCGGTGTAAAAGCAGCCTTACTCGGATTTTATTCGGACCATCTACCAATGTTGGATTTGCGCAAATTTTCAAAGTTTATATTTCATCTAATTTTTCATCTCTGAGTACAATACAACAATGTAACAGCCAAATAGTGTAGCACACTGCAAAATCAATAATAGGACGTGTTTATTACAACTATAGCTATGCAAAGCAGACATGTAATACCATCGTTACTCACCTGTTTAAACGGAAGGAATGAACGTGAAAAATGCTAAATTTAGAAAGAAGAATAAAGCAGAATTGGACTTCAACAGAAAATTATGGACCTTAATCCGTGTGTAAAGATACTGCACACATCACCTGCTTTCCTCCGCCCCTCCCCCGTGTTTCGCTCAGAGATACGGGCGAGGAGAGCAGAAAGAAAGTGAACTGAAACGGATCCTGTAAAACACTTAGCATAGTTTTTCTTAAGAAAATAACCACACATAAATTACGGCAATTGACCTATAGCTAAGCCCCGCCCCCTCCACTGACTCAGGCAAACAATCAACATTTTTGAACAGGCGCTAATAGCGAGTTTCACAGTCGGAGATATTTTTAAGGATGCCATCAATGATTTTTGACAACAGAAGGCTCAAATATCATCAAGAAGTCAGCAAAAAGGGTTACACTATGCATTGGAGGGTTATATTAATGAATTTAGAGCGGAGAAGGTCAATTAAAAGTTTAAATTAGAAGCTAAAATTTTCGGGTCTCAGAGCAAAAGCGATAAATCGCATCTCGTTTCCATCACCCTCTCACACAATAAGATAGAGGTTCATCATTTTTTGTGCACTGCAGGGGAAGAAATTTAATTTACGTATTATTGCTACCGAATTCAAGTAATCTTTGTTAGGCTAAGCTGATAGTGGGGTCTTCCACAAAGCTTTATCCAGAGGAGACACTTCTCTTGGTTATGATGTGGCTTTGGGAAGGGTATAAAATACACCCCATCGCCCAGCCTCTCGGGATACCTCGTATTGAAGTTACATTTACCTCGAGCACAGCATTTGGCCATTTTTTTAAAACTCAGAGACATTTTAAAACCCCATAAAAGCGAACGATACAGAGTTTCCGTAATGCATTTCAATGGAAGTTCAGGCTCAGAATGACCGAGTATATGGGGAGAGAATACGCACTGTGATTGGCTCATCGCATTTGAGGGCTGGGCTTAGCCATAGGTCAATTAATCGAGGTCAGAAAAATGACCGCAATCATTAACATTAATTGCACGATAGGGCGATTAATTGACTATCGCGACCGGCCTACCTGTTCTGCCACAAAACATTTGTATAAGTATGTTTTATTTTTGCCATGTTATGCAATTTGCTTAAGTTCATAATTATATGGCTGCTAAATTTCAAATTGAGGCAACCCAATCACCTAATCTGAGGAGGTACAGTCACTGTTCCTTTAACTGGAATGGATAAGCCGAAGGTACTCGTAAGCTTTGCTTTCTTCCAATAAGTTACCAATATAACACTAATGCCGAGTGCAATACTGCTTTTTTTTTCTTTTAGAAAAGATATGGCTGAAGTTACCCACTCGGCGAAAGACGAAAAAGAAAGGCACGGTTTGCCCCCAGGGCCTGTTTCTCAAAGCAACGTTACTCAGTGAGCTATATGGGTATTTTTCTCAATATGGTCACTATTAGTGAAATGCAGAGTCCGGGTCCCTTATTTTTGAAATAATCCCACAGGGTTAGTTTTTTACTTATTAAACAATCGGTGTATGTGCTTACTAGTTGGAAATAAAGTATCATGGGTGTATTTTCATTCTATCCATCATTTTTGGGGTCAAAAAAGTGGATTTTGGGCATTTTGGGAGTGTCCCAAATCTGGACGATATTTTTGAAACTCGCAATACTCCGATGATTTCAATTTCCTTTGGCTGGAAACTGTATGCATATATTAAAAGACACTGAGATAAATACCCTAAGCAAAAAAAAGAATCAAAGGTGGTGGTTTTCCGAGAAAAATCACTGAAAATAGGGGTGTCCAAAAAACCCACTCAACTCCATGACCATCACTACACAGACTCCCCCTGGAGACAGAAGCTGAAACCACAGTATATGGCCCATGCAAACAGAACCTTTGTGTGACCCCCGAAGCGGCCATATGGACTATTTTCAAAATGGCTTTATGATTATTTAAATATTTCTCAAAATTTTGGGATCCTATGGTGGGTATACTTTTTAAACTCCACTCTGTTACCTTCATTAAAATCCATGGTAATGGTAGGACAAATTTTTAATTATGTTTTTGATAATACTTGTGCAAAACCCTCCCTGGTATGATAGGAAGCATCAAAAGTTACTGCACTG